GGTGGCTGACTAAATACATTTTTTCCCCACTGTATGTCAATGTAAATGTACATTCTGCCAGTGTCAGTGTGTGCTAAGTTGAGGGTCTTAAATTCAAGTGATAGAACCAACGTGAAACACTAAGGACTGTCATTCTAAATTTGAGTTGGATAATTTATCAATAGTTCTAATTATGATTTGGAAAGGCGTGGCTTCTAGAGACAGAGCGATGCCCCTAAAATTTGAGGAGAACCACTAGATTGTAGCTTGGGCTAGCCTTGCCCCAATCCCATTGTTATTAAGGTGTGTGTAAAACTGTTATAACATGTGTTCTCTCTCTTCCCTGTGAAAGTCAATATGGTTTCTAGGTGGTGTGGAACATGTGAGTGGTCATTGTTCCAGATGAGGGATTGTTGGAAACGTTTTTTGTAACTGACCAATTGACTTGAGCAAGTTTTTTGTATGTTTATAACTATATAAGTGGAGCAATTCATGTTATGGGTTAGATGGAATGATTTATGTGCAAATGTATTTGTGGCCGGACGCAAAGTACAAAGGGGGCCCGTCTCTGAGACAGAATGTTTCTATAAGGGTGAGATAAGTCCTGAGCCAAAGGGACCAACGCAGGCCTGGAGTGGCCCAGAAGTTAAGGTGGTGAACTTTACTATAGCATTGGCAGGAAAAATGCCTTTTAAGACTATGACCAACAATGTACTATGAATCGTAATGTATCAAATGCTTGCACTGTTGGGTTTGTGGTGACAGCTATGAGAACCGTCCCAAACAATGAGATTGATCTGAAGGCTCTGTTTAAGAGACTACAAACCTCCAGGAATGAGGAGAGATAAGAGGTCTCAAGCTGACATCACTCACACTCAGGCAGCTGCCTCCAGGTTCTTTGGTGTGTTTTTTCCTGGGTATGGAGTTGCATGTGCCCTAGACCAAATTCGGGAGATCTCTAGACACGTAGAGAAAATTGGCAATGCTACTCGAAATGCCCTGGAACAATTGAATGGGGAAATAAAATAATTGCGTAAATTGGCTCTGCAAAACAGAGAGGCTCTTGACTATCTTTTGGCAGGTCAAGAGGGCACTCGTGCAATCATTGCAGATGAATGTTGTACTTTTGTCCCAGATCACTCTTCTAATATGACTGATCTCGCCGAATACATTGCCACTGTTGCTAAGAATAATTCCCCACAACCAGAGTGGACACTTGCAACTTGGTTGGAATCCCTGTTTGGAAGTTGGGGATCCCAAATTGCCAAATGGGCTGCAGCGTGTGTGTTTTTTCTTAGTTTGCCTAATTGTGTTATTAACATGCTGTGTATGTGTGTGTATTTTTGATGAATTCACTCCCGTTAATAGAAGTATAACCTTTATTATGATGATAGTTTTACCATACTAATTAGATCGTATAACCAAGACTGAAGAGTTTGAAAGTGTCTATCTCATAATATTTTTTTGGATTATTATCATAGAAGTGATAAAAGTAGGCAATGTGGAGGAAAAATGTATAGTACATCTTGTCTCATACAATCATTGGTTCCTGTAGGTAGAGATATGAGGGGGAGGCAGTCATGACCCCCTCCTCAGATCTTTTGGCAGAATGGCCAGAATATGTTCTATAAGTTAAGATAGGAGACGGTGACAGACACATGTAGGAACCAACCCTATGAACCATGCCTATGTAGCTTGTCTGTGTAAGCAGTATATAAGAGAACTAACGGGACTGCCCCGGCAGAGCTCACTTCAGACCAGTACTTTATGCATCTAAGTTTGACTGTGACCTCTCCACCTTGCTGTTAATAAAGAATGATTCATATAAGATTGACTTCAGGTGTCCCTGGTGGTAATTTCCACGACAATACCATTCCATTTACTCCATTCCAGACATTATTATGAGCCATTCTTTCCTCAGCAGCCTCCACTGCTGTATACTGACACGAGCAAGGCAACTCAACTGTAAAGATAAATGATAGTGTCCGTATAACAGAGCAACACAACAACAAACATGACAAATAAGAAGCTACAGAGCCCCTAGGCTATATACCTTGCCTTCGGAAAGTATTCAGACTCCTTTACTTTTTCCACAATCTGTTACGTTTACAGCCTTATTCTAAAATGTATTAAATTAAATCCTCAGCAATCTACACACAATACCTCATAATGACAAAGCAAAAACAGGTTTTGACATTTTAGAAAACTTATTTAAAATAATAAAAACAGAAATACCTTATTTACATAAGTATTCAGACCCTTCAAAGCCTCTCAATGGCCAATACATAGGATCAGCGATCCAGAATGTTTCTGTAAGGGTCAGAGCAAACTCGAAATTGAGCTCATCCTGTTTCCATTGATCATCCTTGAGATGTTTCAACAACTTGATTGGAGTCCACCTGTGGTAAATCAAGAAACATCTCAAGGATGATAAATGGAAACAGGATGCACCTGAGCTCTATTTCGAGTTTTATAGCAAAGGGTCTGACTACTTATGTAAATAAGGTTTTTATATATATTTTTGTAATACATTTGCAAACATTTCTAAAAACCTGTTTTCGCTTTGTTATTATGGGGTATTGTGTGTAGATTGATGATACACATTTTTTATTGAATCCTGTCACGTTCGTTGAGTACAGGATTGGACCAAGGTGCAGTGTGGAATGCATACATGTTTATTAACCAAGTTAACACACGACAAAACAACAAAAGCAAAGTAACGTGAAGCTCACAATGGCTACACACAAACCAGCCAAACAAGAGTCGAGATCCCACCACATAGGCAGGCAAAATGGCTACCTAAGTATGATCCCCAATCAGAGACAACGATCGACAGCTGCCTCTGATTGGGAACCACACCCGGCCAACATAGAAATCCACAACATAGATATACACATACATAGATATTCACACCCTGACCAACCCAACTAGCGAACTCTATGTCAGGGTGTGACAAATCCATTTTAAAATAAGGCTAACGTAACAAAATGTTGAAAAATGGAAGGGGTCTGAATACTTTTCGAATGCCCTGTATATAAACCCATTGAGAGGCTTTGAAGCCACCAGTCGGCCATATTGGCACTCCCTAGTAGGAGCAGTCCTCCATAGGAATGAATGGAATTCTACAGTATTTCAATTAAATGTTTCAAGGACAAAATTACATGTATTTAAGTATGTTTTGTTGTTGAAATTTTACATTTTAATGTTTAGCTCACATAATATAATTAAAAAGTATGCATCAAGGTGTCTGTAATGGAATAAACATGTCAAAAACGAATGTAGACATGAATAAATGCATTTCTATAGCTTCCAAAATATTTGTTAAAATTGAGGAGTGCCAAGATGGCTGTGCGGTGGCGTCAATACAGCGCCCTCTGTCAGTCATCCAGGCTTTATACACATAATTGGCTGGCACCCAAGTACATCTAGCCTGTATACCCATCTGTCTTACCCGACCATCTCACATAGCAGGTCTTGTCTGCTACGTGAGCTAAATGATTACAGACTCATCAACACAGCACATGAGTCAGAGCATATACTGTAACTAATGTTTGGCTTCCTCCATCCACCGCAATGGACATTTATTTATTAATCACTGCTACAGTTATGGTGTATATAGTACTATTTCTATTTTTATTATTTGTATTATTTGTATTACCAATTTTGGAGCTCGGAGTCTAAGATTTTCACTGTACCATGCAATCACACCTGCAACCCTGTACATGTGACTATTAAACACTCAATCTGAATCTGAACTGATGATCAATGGGCCCCACCCCGGTCGGTAATTCAACCATGCTTACTAAAAGTTTAGATAGCTGGCCGCTAGAGTAATTTACCAATCTAAAAAACAATTGCTGACCTGGGCTAATTGAGTGACTGCTGATGCACAACCAAATTTCGAAATTGCACCTTGTGTATTCTATTATTCTAACTCTCAACAGTGGGTTGAGACCCCGACTGAGTTCCTAAAAAACGTATACATATATATTTTTTTGTGTGTGGAATTGATGGGTGGGCCTACAAAAAACATGACCCGCCAAACCGCGCTTCTTCACACCCACTCGCTTCACCCGGAAGCCAGCCGCACCAATGTGTTGGAGGAAACACCGTTCAACTGACGACCGAAATCAGCATGCAGGCGCCCGGCCGCCACAAGGAGTCGCTAGAGCGCGATGAGCCAAGTAAAGGATCGAACCCCAGGCTGTAGTGACGCCGCATCACTGCGATGCAGTGCCTTAGACCGCTGCGCCAATCGGAAGGCTTGTATTCTACCCCACCAAAGCTTGAATTCTAACCACGTTCATGTTCCAATTATGCCTGTAGCACCCCTTTCGTGGGGTGAAACACCCCATGTCCCTATCAATTAATAAAGACGACCTGTAACTCAACCAGTGGAGGCTGCTGAGGGGAGGACGGCTCATAATAATGGCTGGAATGGAGTAAATGGAATGTTATGTGTTTGATACCATTCCATTCACTCCATTCCAGCCATTTTACTCCATTCTAGCCATTACTATGAGCTGTCCTCCCCTCAGCAGCTGTACTGAACTCAACCAATGATTTAGCAGGAATGATGGATTGGTTATTCCTCAGAAGTTCCCAGATTGAAAAGAAGTGGATAGGTGTAAGAAATATTATGATAGCATTATCTGGCCCTACAGTGAGCTAAAATTGAAATTCCTTTCAGACCTGTGAATTAGGGTAGGAATGCATTGTAGGAAGTAGATTTAGGGCAAACAGCTAAGAATAAAAATAGAACCATCACTGACAGGCAGAACTAGCCGATTGGTGAAAACATCCAACTAATCCTTACAGATGTGTAGTATAAAATCTTTCTAAAATCGTTAAATAAAATAGTAAATTGTGAGAAAATAATTATTGGTACTACATTTTACAATAAGACCAACTTCATAAAAGTGTATACCACCATAGATATACATTTACCACGGTTCAAAATATAGGATGTCACTTCATTCAAATAACCATGTTTGAGGACCTTGAAAGGCAAAACAAAATGGCGGATTTTCTGAAAAAGGGTTCGGAGCTGCAAACCATAGCTAAATCAGTTAAAATAAATCTACAAATGAATATATACTGTAATTAGTTAGGTTGGCAAACGAACCACTGTCAAACATTTAAATAGTATTTGTTTGTTTTGAATTATTTTTTACTTTCTCCGGTTGCTGTTTAACGACCGTATTGGTAACTTTAAAAAGGTAAGAGCGCTATGCTAGGCTAATCAACTTGGCTCGCTAGCATTAGCTAACTATTAAATCAACAAAATGCACCGAATTGGCTGATTGCCAGCTGTATAAAAATAGTTTAAAATAACACATATTTCGCAGAATCTGCTGCATGTGTTGTTTTTGGTTCTGATATGTAATTGGCTAGCAAGCTATCGGGTAAGATCTCAGACCGGGTAGGTAACTTTGGCTGGAACGGTCTAGCAGCTAGCAATGCTAACTAGCCTGCATGCCAGCAAGTTGTTATTACATTTCGATGACTACCGTTTGCTCTCTTTGAGTTTTAAAGAAGAAGCGTTACGTAGCTTTATTGGCTGTTGACACTATGCAATCAATCAATTGGCTAAATGTTTGGATTCAAATACCAGGCTTGATCTTCCTCTCATCTCATTGTATCTTATCTCCTGGACCGAAGGCTGGTTCAAAGATTAAGAAATGGCAGCAACTTTCCTCCACTACACACAAGGAGTTTTGAACTGATGAGAACAACCCTGCACTGTAAAAAAAAAAAAAAAAAAGCTATTTTTACAGTAACATACTGGCAGCCAGTTACCTGAAAGTTACTGTAAACATATAGTACAGTATGTTACCCTAAATTCCAAATAAACTTTGGGTTAACAGTACAGTAAATTCCAAAGAAACTTTGGTTTAACAGTACAGTACTGTTAAACCAACGTTTCTTTGGAATTTACGGTAACATACTGTACTTTTAAACTAACTTACAGTTAACTGGCTACCAGTAAGTTACCGTAGAAACAACAGCATTTTTTTTGCAGTGTGTGCAAGGAGCTCAAGAACAGTCTACAGAAAACATGCAGACGAGGTGGTAGGGAAATGATCAGCAAATTGTACTGTGAGCAGTACAACATGGACACTGGCGTTGGACAATAAAGATCACTTGCCAGTTCTGCAGGCTGACCCTCAGGCAATTCCACTGCTACGCTGACGATAACCAGGTTTACATTAACACCAAACCGGAGACCATCTCTGCCCAAGCAAAACTCAGCAGCTGCCTAGAGGACAGCAGGGCATGGATGAAAGATAACTTTCTCCAGTTGAACAGTAGCAAGACTGAGGCTTTGCTTATTCTGACACCCAAACAGTTTACCAGTGCTGCAAACATCTGCCCTACAATCACCGGCCAGGCCATCCACATGTCCTCTGTCATCTCCAACCTAGGAGTCAATTTTGATCCTTCTCTGGCCTTCGATGCCCACAAAACAAATATGTAAAACACAATTTTTCCATCTTACACTGAACAAAAATATAAACGCAACGCGCAACAATTTCAAGACTCTGGTGAGGACAAAGAGCACGCAGATTAATTTCCCTGAGTCGGTTTCTGACAGTTTGTGCAGAAATTCTTTGGTTGTGCAAACCCACATTTTCATCAGCTATCCGGTGGCTGGTCGCCGATGATCCTGCAAGTGAAGAAGCCAGGTGTGGAGGTCCTGGGCCGGCGTGGTTACACGTGGTCTGTGGTTGTGAGGCCGGTTGGACGTACTGCCAAATTTTCTAAAACGACGATGGTAGAGAAATGAACATTCAATTATCCGGCAACAGCTCTGGCAGACATTCCTGCAGTCAGCATGCCACAATCTGTGGCATTGTGTTTTGTGACAAATCTGCACATTTTAGAGTGGCCTTTTTATTGTCCCCAGGACAAGGTGCACCTGTGTAATGATCATGCTGTTTAATCAGCTTCTTGATATGCCACACCTGTCAGGTGGATGGATTATCTTGGCAAAGGAGAAATGCTCACTAACAGGGATTAAACAAATGTATGCACAACATTTGAGAGAAAAAACTGTGCGTATGGACATTTTTCGGGATCTTTTATTTCAGCTCATGAAACATGGGACCAACATGTTGCGTTTATATTTTTGTTCAGTGTAAATACATTGCCTGGGTCATACCCTCACTCTCCCAGCCAGATGCAGATAAACTCATCCATGCCTTCATCTTCTCTCAGATCGACTACGACAATGCGTTGTTTGGGGGCCTCCCAGCTAAATCGCTACAGAGGCTCCAACTAATCCAGAACAGTGCTGCCAGGTTTCCTGACCAGGACCAAGAAGTCAGACCCCATCACCCGATCCTAGCCCAACTCCACTGGCTACCAGTCAACTACAGGATTGACTTCAAAATTCTCATACTTCGATTTAAAGCCTTGAATGGATTGAGGCGCACCTACATCAGTGACCTCATCTCAATCAGCGAGCCACCTCACACTCTCCGCTTCAGCAACTCCCTGCTGCATCAAGTCTCCAAGACACGTCTTTGAACTATGGGGGACCGAGCCTTCTGCTCCCTTGCCCTTCGCCTATGGAATGCTCTCCCTGACCATCTGTGAACCGCTCCGTCACACCAAACTTTTAAAACGGGCCTTAAAACCGACTTCTACAGACTTGCATAGTCCTAGTCCCATTATACAATTTATTTAGCACCTAGCCCACTATTGCTATTTTACCTCCATTTATTTTAAATGTAAACTCAGCAAAAAAAGAAACGTCCTTTCACTGTCAACTGCGTTTATTTTCAGCAAACTTAACATGTGTAAATATTTGTAAGAACATAACAAGATTCAACAACTGAGACATAAACTGAACAAGTTCAACAGACATGTGACTAACATAAATGGAATAATGTGTCCCTGAACAAAGGGGGGGTCAAAATCAAAAGTAACAGTCAGTATCTGGTGTGGCCACCAGCTGCATTAAGTACTGCAGTGCATCTCCTCCTCATGGACTGCACCAGATTTGCCAGTTCTTGCTGTGAGATGTTACCCCACTCTTCCACCAAGGCACCTGCAAGTTCCCTGACATTTCTTGGGGAATGGCCCTAGCCCTCACCCTCCGATCCAACAGGTCCCAGATGTGCTCAATGGGATTGAGATCCGGGCTCTTCGCTGGCCATGGCAGAACACTGACATTCCTGTCTTGCAGGAAATCACGCACAGAACAAGCAGTATGGCTGGTGGCATTGTCATGCTGGAGGGTCATGTCAGGATGAGCCTGCAGGAAGGGTACCACATGAGGGAGGATGTCTTCCCTGTAACACACAGCGTTGAGATTGCCTGCAATGACAACAAGCTCAGTCCGATGATGCTGTGACACACTGCCCCAGACCATGACGGACCCTCCACCTCCAAATCGATCCCGCTCCAGAGTACAGGCCTCGGTGTAACGCTCATTCCTTCGACGATAAACGCGAATCCGACCATCACCTCTGGTGAGACAAAACCGCGACTCGTCAGTGAAGAGCACTTTTTGCCAGTCCTGTCTTGTCCAGCGACGGTGGGTTTGTGCCCATAGGCGATGTTGTTACCGGTGATGTCTGGTGAGGACCTGCCTAACAACAGGCCTACAAGCCCTCAATCCAGCCTGTCTCAGCCTATTGCGGACAGTCTGAGCACTGATGGAGGGATTGTGCGTTCCTGGTGTAACTCGGGCAGTTGTTGTTGCCATCCTGTACCTGTCCCGCAGGTGTGATGTTCGGATGTACCGATCCTGTGCAGGTGTTGTTACGCGTGGTCTGCCACTGCGAGGACGATCAGCTGTCCGTCCTGTCTCCCTGTAGCGCTGTCTTAGGCGTCCCACAGTACGGACATTGCAATTTATTGGCCTAAGGCACGTACACGCAGATGAGCAGGGACCCTGGGCATCTTTCTTTTGGTCTTTTTCAGAGTCTGTAGAAAGGCCTCTTTAGTGTCCTAAGTTTTCATAACTGTGACCTTAATTGCCTACCGTCTGTAAGCTGTTAGTGTCTTAACGACCGTTCCACAGGTGCATGTTCATTAATTGTGTATGGTTCATTGTACAAGCATGGGAAACAGTGTTTAAACCCTTTACAATGAAGATCTGTGAAGTTATTTGGATCTTTACTAATTATCTTTGAAAGACAGGGTCCTGAAAAGGGGACGTTTCTTTTTTTGCTGAGTTTATTGTATATAATGTTTTTCTTTTTTCCTCAGTAGAGCTTTGAGTTACTCTAATGAAAAGCAGTTTTACAAATTAAATGTATTATTATTATGTAAAGTTGAAAACGCATGCATGCAAAACTTTTTCCCATTCAGACAGAATGTTCATCAGCTGACTGGCAGCTAGTATATTTGCGCCGCCTTCAATGAGAGGTGAAATATGTGTTTAATGACGTTACAGTAGTGTGGGAAAGCTGGCCAGTGGTGGTCAGTCATCTAATCTGTAATATCTCTATCTCTAATCACGAGTTTTCATGTGTCCCCCTTTATTTATGTAATCTTGCATTCACCATTCATTCATGAATTGCCAGAAGCCTAACATTAGACACAGTGACAGTCTGGGACGTAGCCTGGATTCAGAGGCATGCTTTGTGTTTTAAACAATATGAGTCGTTTTTGAATGAATGAGAATAATATGTTTTTTTTTCCTAAGATGCAGCTGGAAGGTAGTTATAACATGAACATTAGAACCCCAAACAAGGGAAGAATAGTTGTCTTTCAGCTTGACGTCCCTCTCATTCGTCTCCTAACTATCCCTCTGTCCCACAGCTACCATGGCGGAGGAGCGGAGGCCGAAGCAGTGCACTGTGGTTCTGCCCACTGAGTCCATGAAGGCCATGGCAGAGTCCATAGGAGTGGGGCAGCTACAGGAGGAGAGCTGTGCCGCCCTGAGCGAGGAGGTCAGCTACAGAATAAAGGAGATCGCCCAGGTAAGAGTAGGAGCAGGGCCGAGTTCAGTAGGGCACACCGTAGCAAAATGATTTGCAACGGGAAAATTAGAATCTGTTCTTATTGGATGACTCACTCTGACATGTCGCACCTCAGATCATATCAATACCAATGAACACACAGGGTAATTATGTTGTTATGAAATGTGATTCTTTGGTCATGTTTTTTGTTTTCCCCCTCCATTTGTCTTTTAGGACGCGTTGAAGTTCATGCACCACGGAAAGAGACGTAAACTGACGACCAGCGACATAGATCATGCTCTTAAACTGAAGAATGTAGAGGTGAGGGGGACTATACTACACCATCATGGAGAAATTGTTATTTCTTTTGAGAACTTTTCACAGGACCTCAATGAAATATATAGGCTATATTGAAATGAACATTTTAGATGTTATTTGCATAAACAGACTTGGTTGAAAATGTCAATAGAGCAAATACTAAGCTCTCTTCAGATAAATGATTAAAGCCACTGTACAAATTCGACTTATTTTGGGTTGCTAGTGTTACAGAATTTATTGATATCAATCAATTGATGGAAGTCACTACACACGACGTGCACATTTCAAGTGTCTACACATATACAGTGGGGAGAACAAGTATTTGATACACTGCCGATTTTGCAGGTTTTCCTACTTACAAAGCATGTAGAGGTCTGTAATTTTTATCATAGGTAAAATTCAACTGTGAGAGACGGAATCTAAAACAAAACTGCAGAAAATCACATTGTATGATTTTTCAGTAATTAATTTGCATTTTATTGCATGACATAAGTATTTGATACATCAGAAAAGCAGAACTTAATATTTGATACAGAAACCTTTGTTTGCAATTACAGAGATCATACGTTTCCTGTAGGTCTTGACCAGGTTTGCACACACTGCAGCAGCGATTTTGGCCCACTCCTCCATACAGACCTTCTCCAGATCCTTCAGGTTTCGGGGCTGTCGCTGGGCAATACAGACTTTCAGCTCCCTCCAAAATATGTTCTATTGGGTTCAGGTCTGGAGACTGGCTAGGCCACTCCAGGACCTTGAGATGCTTCTTACGGAGCCACTCCTTAGTTGCCCTGGCTGTGTGTTTCGGGTCGTTGTCATGCTGGAAGACCCAGCCACGACCCATCTTCAATGCTCTTACTGAGGGAAGGAGGTTGTTGGCCAAGATCTCGCGATACATGGCCCCATCCATCCTCCCCTCAATATGGTGCAGTCGTCCTGTCCCCTTTGCAGAAAAGCATCCCCAAAGAATGATGTTTCCACCTCCATGCTTCACGGTTGGGATGGTGTTCTTGGGGTTGTACTCATCCTTCTTCTTCCTCCAAACACGGCGAGTGGAGTTTAGACCAAAAAGCTCTATTTTTGTCTCATCAGACCACATGACCTTCTCCCATTCCTCCTCTGGATCATCCAGATGGTCATTGGCAAACTTCAGACGGGCCTGGACATGTGCTGGCTTGAGCAAGGGGACCTTGCGTGCGCTGCAGGATTTTAATCCATGACGGCGTAGTGTGTTACTAATGGTTTTCTTTGAGACTGTGGTCCCAGCTCTCTTCAGGTCATTGACCAGGTCCTGCCGTGTAGTTCTGGGCTGATCCCTCACCTTCCTCATGATCATTGATGCCCCACGAGGTGAGATCTTGCATGGAGCCCCAGACCGAGGGTGATTGACCGTCATCTTGAACTTCTTCCATTTTCTAATAATTGCGCCAACAGTTGTTGCCTTCTCACCAAGCTTTTTGCCTATTGTCCTGTAGCCCATCCCAGCCTTGTGCAGGTCTACAATTTTATCCCTGATGTCCTTACACAGCTCTCTGGTCTTGGCCATTGTGGAGAGGTTGGAGTCTGTTTGATTGAGTGTGTGGACAGGTGTCTTTTATACAGGTAACGAGTTCAAACAGGTGCCGTTAATACAGGTAATGAGTGGAGAACAGGAGGGCTTCTTAAAGAAAAACTAACAGGTCTGTGAAAGCCGGAATTCTTACTGGTTGGTAGGTGATCAAATACGTATGTCATGCAATAAAATGCAAATGATTTACTTAAAAATCATACAATGTGATTTTCTGGATTTTTGTTTTAGATTCCGTCTCTCACAGTTGAATTTTACCTATGATAAAAATTACAGACCTCTCTCTACATGCTTTGTAAGTAGGAAAACCTGCAAAATCGGCAGTGTATCAAATACTTGTTCTCCCCACTGTATATATGCGCCATTTCAGTTTCAGTTTGTATCTATGCAACCATCACAGTATTAGTCATCCCAGTGCTTGGTTTCAGAAGCCTCCTCTCTCTCCTCCACAGCCTCTGTATGGGTTCCAGTCGCAGGAGTTCATCCCGTTTCGCTTCGCCAGCGGAGGAGGGAGAGAGCTTCACTTCTACGAGGAGAAAGAGGTGGACCTCAGTGACATCATCAACACACCCCTCCCTAGAGTCCCACTTGACGTTTCGCTCAAAGGTATACTTCTATTTTGTTTTGTAAAAATGTTTTATTGTATTGATTTGACAAAAACACATACCTCCACACAGAATGATACTGACGCGTTCAACAATTTCAGAGGTATAGGCCTACTTCTATTGATGTTCTATTGATTGTATTTTAGTAGATCCACTTCCATTGTTGTAGATTATGTCCTGTGTTATCCATATGTCATATGATGGTATTATCTGTAAACAAGTGTTTGAGTTTGTTGATTATACAAGCTCTTGTTGAATATCCTCTTGTTTATTGTTCCTCAGCTCACTGGTTAAGTATTGAAGGTGTCCAGCCTGCTATACCAGAGAACCCACCCCCAGGTGAGATGTCTGTTTGTCTATGTCCATCCTTCTCTAGCATCTACTTCAGAAAAGCAGCATTCTTTTCTAAACAACCACATTTCCATCATGTGTATATTTACACTGTGTATCTTGCCATCTCCCTTCTTTCCCATTCTCTTTCCCTCAGCCCCCAAAGAGCAGCAGAAGGCTGAGTCTACAGAGCCCCTCAAGGTGGTCAAGCCTGGTCAGGAGGAGGAGGGGGGCTCCATCCAGAAGGGCCAGGGAGCTACATCTGCAGAGGCTAAAGGTCAGGAGCTTCTTATGTGTCTGTACGCAATCTTAAAATTGTATGTGAACAAGGATACCCTTTTCACACATATCGTGTCAACACGAACCATACTGTGCTGGCTCTGATATTTTCTTTTCACATTGTCCTTTCCAGCATGGTTCAAGCCACTATGGTGATGTGTAACTAAGCCAGTGAAGTGCAGCTCGGCTCAGCACGGTAGTGTGAAAAGGATACTAGGAAAGCGATTCCTATTTAATCAATGTTTGTGGTCCCTGTGTCCCTCTGGTTTGGTCCCTCCCAGGTAAGAAGGAGGGTCTGATGAGGATGAAGCCCCGCAGTACTCACGAGCTCTCAGTGGAACAGCAGCTCTACTACAAGGAGATCACAGAGGCCTGCGTCGGGTCCTGTGAGGCCAAGAGAGCTGTGAGTCAACCGTGTGTGTGTGTGTGTGTGTGTGTGCGCGCACACGCGCGTGCGAGAGAGTTGTGTGTCTGAGTCAACCAGGTTTTTGGCTAAAATGTCATGGTACTGGGTAAAGTTCATGATGCTGTTGACCTTAACAAGGGCCCCAGGACCAGTGGATGCAAAATAGCCCCATAACATCAAAGATGGGTTTCTTTTTTGCTGATCACATTTTTCTCGTCCAATTGAGCTATATTTTCATGTCATCCAACAAATGTAAATGCCTCGAGTTTGCTAAACGGCATTGGCACTTAGATTGGAACCAGTGCTTTGGTCAGATGACATGTATATAGAGCTCTGTGGCCAAGCACACCAGTGAGTTTGGCGTCGAAAGAAGAATGTGATCAGCAAAAAAGAACCCCATACCTACTGTACAATATGGTGGTTGATCTTTCATGTTATAGGGCTATTTTGCTTACACTGGTCCTGGGGCCTTTGTTAAGGTCAACTGCATCATGAACTTTACCCAGTACCAGGATATTTTCGCCAAAAACCTGGTTGCCTCTGCCATGAGGCTGAAACTTGGCCGCAAGTGGATCTTCCAGCAAGACAATAACCCCAAGCACACATCAATTTCCACAAAGAAATTATTAATTGAACACAAAATCAACATTTTGCAATGGCCATCTGTCTCCAGACTTGAACCCCATTGAAAACCTGTGGTTTGAATTGAAGAGGGCAGTCCATAAACGCAGACTAAGGATATCAAGGATCTGGAAAGATTCTGGATTGAGGAATGGTCTAAGATCCCTCCCAATGTGTTCTCTAATCTCATAAAACATTTGAGAAAAAGGCTCAGTGCCGTTATCCTCGCAAGGGAAGGGTGCCGGAGTATTGAAAACAGGGGTGCCAATAATTTTGACACCTATCTTTTTGAGAGAAAATAAGTTTTACTTGTTAAACAAAATATATTTCTCTGAGCAATTGTATTAATATAAAAGAATATATAATTTTCATTTTATTTTTTTGCATACAATATATTATGAATATTCTGTATGTATGCATTTATGTATGTATGGTTTTCTTATTGTTGCCACATTATAATGACATCTCTCTGACCCAGTATGTCTCTCTTGTCTTCTTCAGGAGGCTCTACAGAGTATTGCTACAGACCCTGGGCTCTACCAGATGCTCCCCAGATTCAGCACTTTTATCTCTGAGGGGGTGAGCTGCTCTTCCTTCCTGTCAATCTCTATTCTGCCAGCCCTGCCATCTACCCTCCAAGATAGGGTTCTGCTGATAGCACATACTCTTTCTCAATTGTCTAAACAAATTTTCCCTTTCTTGACCTCATCTTCTTCATTGCGCTGATCTGAAAGAACTGACCAGGTGAAAGCTAGCCTAATGATGAGCTTCTACTATATTGTTTTCACCTGTCAAATATTTTCCAATCAGTGCAGGTGAAGGAAAGGAGATGGGGAGAGGACATATTGTCAAGCTATTTAGATCGAGCCAAAGTGTTTCAATGCAGCAGGGATCATGACCCTGTCACTTTTTTAGCTTGTTCTTCTCTCTTACGACTTCCTCTTCCTTCTCTCCTCCTGTAGGTCCGTGTGAACGTGGTGCAGAACAACCTGGCCCTGCTCATCTACCTGATGAGGATGGTCAAGGCCCTCATGGACAACCCCACGCTTTACCTAGAGAAATATGTAAGAACACAGCTAAATATCATACACAGTAAACTGAAAACTAAATCGAAACACATGAACCAGAACTATGACACAGATCAATATTACATACAGTAAACTGAAAACCGTATTATAATCAAATTATAATCAACTTTATTGATGGAGCATTTCGATACAGACGGACCTCGACTCAGTGGTGATAATAACACCTGCCCTTTTATGTGTCTCTTGCTCCTCACCCTGGTTCCCTGGGTCGTGGTCTAGCTGCATGAGTTGATCCCAGCGGTGGTGACGTGTATAGTGAGTAAGCAGCTGTGCTTGCGGCCTGACGTGGACAACCACTGGGCTCTGAGGGACTTCGCTGCCCGTCTCATGGCCCAGAGCTGTAAGACCTTCAGCACTACCACCAACAACATCCAGTCACGCATCACCAAGACCTTCACCAAGGTATGTGGAGAGTCATCCGATTGATCAACTTTTACTTGGAAGGAAGTGTGTGTGTGTGTTTTTATAAAAAATAACATAGAATACTGGGATTGAGACAATAGACAATAAGTGTTATAATGAGCCATGAACATCTCCTTCCCTTCATCTCTTTCTCTCAGAGCTGGTTGGATGAGAAGACCCAGTGGACGACACGGTATGGCTGCATCGCTGGACTGTCTGAACTAGGACCTGACGTGAGGACTGCCTTTCTGTCTCTCGCACATTTGAAGAAATGTTCTCACCCTGGTCTGGAGCTGTGGTATAATAGTGTTTGTTCTCTGCCTCTCACCCCCTCCAGGTGATCAAGACGTTGATCCTGCCCAGGCTCAATGTAGAAGGAGCTCGTATCAAAGCTGTGTCTGATGGACCCGTGGTCTCCAATATCGATAAGATAGGAGCAGACCACGTCCAAAGCCTTTTACTGGTGAGGAGCCAAACACAAACTGTTATTGTTCTACTATTATTGTTAACTCAATTTGTAATATTCCATTTAAGATGCATCTTTAAGATAGAACATGTTTGTTTTATACTCATATACCTGATTGTTAAATCAAATACGACCACAGACAACATATTATAGAGACCACTACATACATTTAAGGCCGGTTTCCCAGACACAGATTAAGCCTAGTTCTGGACTAAAAATTCTCCACTGAACATGCTTTTTAGTCCAAGACTGGCTTCACATACCCACCTGGGAGAGAGACATAGATCCTTGACTAATATCCTCTTCTCTCTCAGAAACACTGTGCCAGCGTTATCGCCAAGACTCGTCCCCTGCCTGACAACATGGAGCAGTACCGGGCAGACTACGGTTACCTGGGGCCCATGCTCTGTTCCCACGTGGTTAAGGCCCGGGCCCAGGCAGCACTACAGGCCCAGCAGGTCAACAGAACTACACTCACCATCACACAGGTAGGGCACCTGGATGTGTAAAACTATGTACAGTTGAAGTCGGATGTACAGTTTACAGACACCTTACAACTAGTTGACATACACCTTAGCCAAATACATTTAAACTCAGTTTTTCACAATTCCTGACATTTAATGCCCTGTCTTAGGTCAGTTAGGATCACCACTTTATTTTAAGAATGTGAAATGTCAGAATAATAGTAGAGAGTGATTTATTTCAGCTTTTATTTATTTCATCACATTCCCAGTGGGTCAGAAGTTTACATACTAATTGAGTGTATTTGGTGGCATTGCCTTTAAATTGTTTAACTTGGGTCAAACGTTTTGGTTAGCCTTCCACAAGCTTCCCACAATAAGTTTGGTGAATTTTGGCCCATTTCTCCTGACAGAGCTGGTGAAACTGAGTCAGGTTTGTAGGCCTCCTTGCTCACACACGCTTTTTCAGTTCTTCCCACAAATTTTCTATAGGATTGAGGTCAGGTCTTTGTGATGGCCACTCCAATACCTTGACTTTGTTGTCCTTAAGCCATTTTTCCACAACTTTGGAAGTATGCTTGGGGGTCATTGTCCATTTGGAAGACCATTTGCGACTAAGCTTTAACGTCCTGACTGATGTCTTGAGATGTTGCTTCAATATATCCACATAATTTTCCTTCCTCATGATGCCATCTATTTTGTGAAGTGCACCAGTCCCTCCTTGCAGCAAAGCACCACCACAGCATGATGCTTCCACCCTCATGCTTCACGGTTGGGATGGTGTTCTTCGGCTTGCAAGCCTTCCCCTTTTTCCTCCAAACATAACGATAAATTAAATAAATAAATAAATTGGTCATTTAGCAGACGCTCTTATCCAGAGCGACTTACAGGAGCAATTAGGGTTAAGTGCCTTGCTCAAGGGCACATCGACAGGTTTTTCACCTAGTCGGCTCAGGGATTAGAACCAGCGACCTTTCGGTTACTGGCACAACGCTCTTAACCACTAAGCTACCTGCCGCCCAACGATGGTCATTATGGCCAAACAGTTCTATTTTTGTTTCATCAGACCAGAGGACATTTCTCCAAAAAGTACGATCTTTGTCCCCATGTGCAGTTGCAAACTGTAGTCTGGCTTTTTTATGTCGGTTTTGGAGCAGTGGCTTCTTCCTTGCTGAGCGGCCATTCAGGTTATGTCGATATAGGACTTGTTTTACTGTGGATGTAGATAATTTTGTACCTGTTAACTCCAGCATCTTCACAAGGTCCTTTGCTGTTGTTCTGGGATTGATTTGCACTTTTCGCACCAAAGTACGTTCATCTCTAGGAGACAGAACGCGTCTCCTTCCTGAGCGGTATGACAGCTGGTCCCATGGTGTTTATACTTGCGTACTATTGTTTGTACAGATGAACGTGGTACGTTCAGGTGTTTGGAAATTGCTCCCAAGGATGAACCAGACTTGTGGAGGTCAAAAAATAATAATCTGAGGTCTTGGCTGATTTCTTTTGATTTTCCCATGATGTCAAGCAAAGAGGCACTGAGTTTGAAGGTAGGCCTTGAAATACATCCACAGGTACACCTCCAATTGACTCAAATGATGTCAATTAGCCTATCAGAAGCTTCTAAAGCCATGACATCATTTTCTGGAATTTTCCAAGCTGTTTAAAGGCACAGTCAACTTAGTGTAAGTAAACTTCTGACCCACTGGAATTGTGATACAGTGAATTATAAGTGAAATAATCTGTCTGTAAACAATTGTTGGAAAAAGTAGATGTCCTAACCGACTTGCCAAAACTATAGTTTGTTAACAAGAAATGTGTGGAGTGGTTGAAAAACTAGTTTTAATGACTCCAACCTAAGTGTATGTAAACCTCCGACTTCAACTGTATATAATAATAATAATAATAATAATAATATGCCATTTAGCAGACGCTTTTATCCAAAGCGACTTACAGTCGTGCGTGCATACATTTTTGTGTATGGGTGGTCCCGGGGATCGAACCCACTACCTTGGCGTTACAAGCGCCGTGCTCTACCAGCTGAGCTACAGAGGACCACATATATGAACTGCCTAAGGTTGGAGTCAATTCCATTTAAATTCAGTTCAGGAAGTAAACTTACATCCATTTCAAATTTTCCTCATTGAAAAACGATTTACATTTCTGGTTGCTTCCAGAATTGAAATGGGATTGACCTCAACGCTGATATGAACTGACAATATTATAAAGTTTAATGATCCAACATAACGTTACAAAACCCCATCTGAAGTCATACTGAATCTGTCTGTCTGTGTTGCAGCCTCGGCCCACCCTAACGGTGTCTCAGAGCGGGATAGGAGGGTCGGGGGGGTCCCGTACCCCCAGCATCATCAAGGTTCCCAGCTCCCTCACCCTCATGTCCACCCGACCGGGCACCCCAACACAGCCATCGCCCCCGGCAACCAAGTACATCGTCATGGCAACCAGTGCAGGGGCATCCTCCACCCAGCAGGTACTGTGAACGGTAGTTTTGCTGTTTTTTATCTTGATATACAATTTTATGAAATAGTAACAAAGACAAATGTATTTAAAATCATATATAGTATTCACTCTGTCGTCCTAGATTCATGTGTGGTCGTAAATAAACATTTGATATCCTATACATTCCCTTTTTTATAGACCTTCAAGTTTCTCTGATAAAAACCTCCATCAAAAGTAATTATCTAGATGCCCTAGTTGAGTGTTGTAATGTAATGTAATATTCCCCTGTCCTCCAGGTGATCACCCTGAGTTCCTCCTCGGCCTCCTCAGTGACCAGCACGGTCGCCAGCGCTACCTCCACCCTGCAGCCTCTGGTCAAGCTGGAGTCCAGAGGGGCCGGCGGCCTAGGGGTGTCACGACCCCTCCAGAAGTACATTGTGGTGTCCCTCCCATCGTCTGCCTCTTCCTCCCTGGAGAGTAAGAGTGGCATGCTCCCTCCCTCCTCTTCCTCTCCCATCTCGCTGGAGGCCGGGATGAAGATGGATCGCTCAGACTCTCCCGGGGCCAGCACACAGTCTCCGCACTGAGATACTGTGTGCGTCCCAAATGGCACCATACTCCCTATATAGTGCACTACTTTGGACCAGGGCTCATTAGGCTCTGTTCAAAAGTAGTCCAGGATTTATAGGGCTCTTGTCAAAAGGGGTGCACTATATGCTGAATAGGGTGCTATTTGCGACGCAAACACTGGCTTGTAATTGGCGGAGGGTGGTGAGACAGCCCTCTGATTGGCTGTTTATGGTGATAATGAGAGATACCTCTACCTCTCTGATAGGACGGAGATTAGGTGCCTGAAGAGGGAGGGAGGGATGACTTGGGTGGAGGGGTGGAAACTAGCTACTTCTGAGTCTGGAGTAGCAGAAGAATTGTTTCAGAAAACGGGGATATTATGTGAAAATGATGGATAGAGACTAGATGGGATGGAGGGAGGAGTGGATGGATGGATGGGTGCATGCAGTAAAGTGCACAAATCGCATCTCTTTCTTGCTCTCTCTCTCTCTTTTGTTATTGTACATACATACACACTCGTCTAAAAGCTGTGTGGGCATTTATAATGGTTCAACCAACGTTCTAACTGATTTTATGTTCCTTTTTTACACTATAATAAACCTGATTTTGTAATGATTTTATGGGACTGCTTTGTTTTTTCATTAGTGGAGGTAGCCTTGGTGCCAGTCAGTTTCTGCTCTCTTGACAGTTCCTTATGGAATTGTCTTCCAGACATGACATGTTTTTGCTTTACAATGACAGCAATGGAGTTGGCAAGAGAGCAAACAGATCTGGGACCAGCCTAGAGTGGAGGAGGATGATAGACAATATGCTTAACAGCTGACAATAGCAATAAAAGATAGTAGCCTAAAGACCCACATTCCTTACATAAACATCCTTACATTCTTAGGAAGCAATGCAGGTTGTTGTTGCTGACACTAACATTGAAGAGGTGGGAAAGGAATTGTGACAAACGTGCCATATACAGTGCCCTCTAAATATTGGGACGTTGAAGCGTGTTTTCTTCTTTTAACTCTAAACTCCAAAAGTTTGGATTTAAACTCAAAACAATGACTAGGAGGTTAAAGTGCCGACTGTCAGCTTTAATTTGAGGGTATTTTCATTCATATCAAGTGAACCGTTTAGAAATTACAGCACTTTTGTACATAGTCCCCCCATTTTAGGGGAGCAAAAGTATTGGGACAAATTCACTTATCTGTATTAAAGGAGTAAAATATAATTGGTCACATATTCATGAAGCTTGTGGCTCTACACATTTGTTGGATGCATTTGCTCTATGTTTTGGTTGCGTTTCAGATTATTTTGTGCCCAACAGAAATTAATGGTAAATAATGTATTGTCATTTTGGAGACACTTTTATTGTAAATTAGAATATTTACATTTTACATATTTAGCAGACGCTCTTATCCAGAGCAACTTAAAGTTAGTGAGTGCATACATTTTCATACTGGCCCCCGTGGGAAACGAACCCACAACCCTGGCGTTGCAAGCGCCATGCTCTACCAACTGAGCTACAGTTACATTAATGTGGATGCTACCATGATTACAGATAATCCTGAATAATGATGAGTGAGAAAGTTACAGACGCACAAATATCATACTCCCTAGACATGCTAACCTCTCACCATTAAAATAACGGGGTAGGTTAGCATTTTCTTGGGGGGTATGATATTTGTTAACCGCTAGGCTACCTGCCGCTAGGATGCTACTCATCCTGTAAACAAAGAAAGAGCTGTGCCTGCCTTAGCTCTGGTCCTGGGCCCAGTTTCCCAACAGCGATGGAATTTAGGCTTACAAGTGTTTTAAACGGTGCATCTTTCCTACAATGGTCGAAAATGTAGCATGCGTTTCCCAAAACGCCAAGCAGAGAGAATGGTCGCTAAGTGCGTCGTTGGAGCAATGCTTATAGGATCGAAAGAAAGGCAGTGCTGCTCTCGCATCAGCTTTCTCCATTCAAATCTTTCCTTAACATTAGAATTAATGTCACAATACTAACGACGGAGATATTACCACCTACGGCTGCAAATATTGAGGCGGTTTATTCTTATGCTTACCCAATAAAAATTCACGAAATCACCCATATGGCACATCATTGCGCATGTTAGGTTACACATAATTAAATACAGTTTATTGAGACAAATTACAGACAGTAGCCTACATGTAGCAAAATGAACATGAAATGTAAGCATATAGTGTCGTAGTAAATATATAATGTTATAGCTTGGTCTGACTAAAATCTTGTGCATGACCCATTTTGTGTTGGGCCTTTGTATTCAATACAATGGACAAAAGAGTCCTATCTTGTCAGCCTTGTCAGCAGGTGGCTAAGGACAACACCCACGCCATAGGTCTCTCAGTTCTTCCAACTCACGAGTTCTTGCTCTGAGGACACACACACACACACCCACACACACACACACACACACACACACACACACACACATCATCACTGATAAACACACACACACACACACACACACACACACACATCATCACTGATAACACACACACACACACACACATCATCACTGTTAAACACACACACACACACACACACACATCATCACTGATAACACACACACACACACACACACACACACACATCATCACTGTTAAACACACACACACACACACACACAAAAATCCCCTTCTCTTAGGCTGAACATCTGAAGACAGAGAACCCGACTCAGAGCCAATGCAACAGTGATACTAACCTGGAGGGGACCTTGCCCAACTCATCAGGACCAATCAGAAGATCAGAACTACTAGATTCAACCTACTTCATTTTATTGTATAAAATGTCAGCACACAATGTTTCGGGGCTCTCTCAGATATCTCCCTACGAGATTGACGAACGGGTCCGTGCACGCGATTCCAGATATCTTTACCTCTGAATAAACTGCCTTTATTATACCATATCCACCCTGTCCAAAGTCTCTACTTGGTCTCAGTTCTCCAGTAAACTTGTTTTATCAATAAAATTGGTAGCAGAGGATGGTTTTCTAACTCTGAATTCGGTCCATAAAAGTTGATAGAGAAAGGAGACAAGTAAGAGACGGATCAGAAAGGACGGGTGACCTGTTCGCAGGAGCAGCCGGGAATCCAGCTCGCCTCAGGAAACTGATCTAGACGGCCGTCAATACAAAGGTAAGCAGAACCTGTTAAAACAAAATCTGCATATTGTATTGTAGGATAAACCAAATTAAGATCAGTATTACTGAGCGTGAGTATGGATTACTGTTAAATTTATAACATATCTATTATGACTCAAAAGGCACATATGTAAAGATATCTGAAATCTTAGGCTTTTTACTGTTGAAATGTGACTCTCTAGAGAGGAGTCTAGTTACAGTGGTTCACAAGAGAAGGACCGACTTTTATTTTTACTGTTGAAATGTGACTCTCTAGGTGAGGAGTCTAGTTACAGAGGTTGTGGTTCACAAGAGAAGGACCCTTTTATTTTTACTGTTGATATCTGAAATCTTAGGTTTTTACTGTTGAAATGTGACTCTAAGAGAAGAAGTCTAGTTACAAGAGAAGGACCGACTTTTATTTTCTGTTGAATTGTGGCTCTCTAGTGAGGAGCCTATTACAGAAGTTTTGGTTCACAAGAGATGGACCCTTTTATTTGATCCACAAGAGAAGGATCTGGTGACTTGATAAAAAGATTCAGATAGTCGGGTTGAGTTAATTCCGTGAGAATCCAAGTCCAGAAAAGGTTCTCCCGACTAGACGCCAGTTGAATGGTTAAAACGACTGGGAGTCTTGGTTGTGGAGAATCATTAAAATAAAATAAAAATACAAGTTCAGATAGTCGGGCAATGGTTGACGTGGCACTCAACTAGATGTACTGTGAAGAACTCAAACTGAATTCATGTGTTGATGTTGATATGTAATGTAAAATTTAAATGTTGAAATGTTAACCTGAATGTTGTGTAAGATTGGCCGTTTCATGAGACTAACTAGTTGATAACTTTTAAGAGGACCACCGAGTCTTATTTGGCCTATTCTGCAGCCGCTGCGCTGAAAGTTGACTTGTACTTTTTCCCTCTTGTGGTGTTGGTATTTCCTTAGTTCCTAAAAATAAATTGATAATTATTTTGGAAGCGCTCGAGTTTGTTAATATATTGTTCCAAAAGGGCGATTTTGATACCTTTTGGGAAAATATATAATAACTCGAATACCTGAAAAACAATAATAACTTTTGCAAAATAATTCCTAGGATTAAATTGATAATTATTTTAGGAGCGCTCGAGTTTGTTAATATATTGTTCCAAAAGGGCGATTCTGATACCTTTTGGGAAAATATATAATAACTCGAATAACTGAAAAACAATAATACCTTTTGCAAAATAATTCCTAATAATAAATTATTGAAAATTCTTTGTGTACGAGGGTGGGGCACCTGAGATAAGTCGGTGTTGGCACCAAGAATACATTGCTGGCCTCGGCCAGTGACGGGCTAAGTACACTAAGATAGTCGGACCTTACCCGAAATTCTATATACATATATATATATATACTGAAATAGCCATGGCCGTCACTACTATCCCTGATAGGTTGTTTCCACATTTAAAAGGTCCTATTTTAGATAGGTTGTGTGGTAGGTGTGTTTTGACGTATGAGTGGATAAGATTTGACCCATCATTAGGTGGGGGAGAATCACCGAAATTGACCAGAGGTACTAAATTCTCGGAGATGCCAGCTATCTCTGTAATTTCACATTTAAAACGTTCCATTTAAATGGTTGTGTGAAAGGTGCAGTTAACCTGAGACAAAAATCTCTAAGGGATCCAGTTGCTTCTGTGACTTCACATAATGAAGTGCCTAAATAAGGCTGTGTGAAGGGTGGCAGTCGAACTGAGAATGTGTTCTAGGACGCTTTGATAGCCTGAATACATTAAGCATTGTAATTCCAATTGGCTTTTTGGGTTGTGTGTTTTTATGTATTATAACGCGTTAATGGGTGATGGGAAGTTATAGTGAAACTTATGAAACTGAATACCAATCTGTAGAATTGAGGGAATTGACGGAATTTTCTGCAGCACTCTCTTCTCAGGTGCAGAAGGCCCAAGAGGGGGAGCTGTCGGGAAACACGCCACCACTGAAGGTAAAAGTGGGAGACTGGGTGAGGGTGAAAGTCCACAAAAGAAAGTGGCTGGAACCCAGGTGGACTGGACCGTACGAAGTGAAGGAGGTTACTTCACACTCAGTCCAGGTCAGAGGTAAATCAGGAGCACCCTGGCACCATCTAACACATTGCACTCCAGCCCCCACTCCTTCCAGACTATTGTCTGAAGTAAGAGCTGATTTGAGCAGCGAGAACCAATCCTGACAACACAATGAAGAAACCCTTATGGGAACAACAATCTCACCCAGGGTGAAGAAGAACTTTTTCCCCCTGGGAGAGATTGGGAGTGTCTGAATGTTCGTATGTATGTTTTCTGATAGGAATTGGACTCCTGCTGGGCACTCCTTATGAGGGGTTGTTGTGTGAAGCTATTTTGAATTACTTTAAATGTACTTGTAATATAATAGTAGATTCTAGTGGGGGGAAGACTAAGGAACCCTTTGATCCAAATTGTGAGGTGTTTGAATTGGCTACTATTGACTCAGCACTTCAACAGGAACAGAGAAACCTAATTTGGCATTGACAGTAATGGGTATGAAAATTAATTGGATGATGGGGTTTTGTGTTGAATTAGAGACAGTGAGACTATTAGTCAATACCTAGGAGAGAAGAGAGGTTACGGTAGCAAAGACAGACAAGAAGGAAATAGTAATAGTGGAGACAGGAGTGAGTGGAAGTGTTACAATTGTGACAAAACGGGACATTTTGCTAGAGAATGTGAGGAACCGTGTAGTTACTGCAAGGAAAGGGCACCAGTTAAGAAACTGTAGGCAGAAGGGGAAGAGAGAAATCAGGAGTCCTCATGACCTGGCTGTTTGGTTGTTGTTTTTTAATTGGGGTTTTCAAATAGAAAACAACACACCTAGTATGATGTTTATAAAGCCTTGTTGTTTCAATTTTGGAGGGTTTTCAGCAGGTCAAGGGTGATAGGTCTTAGAGAAGCACACAGTGAATTTTATGGAGTTTTTTAGGTTTTGGCTGAGTTTGGGGTATATATGATTTCTTATGAGAATGAATGTCATGAGGACTTAATGAACACTTGGGATAACTAACATTTATGAAATATTTAGAATAATGGTAATGTTTAGTATACTATGGGATTAAACAGTTCGATAAATGATTTCAATGGCCTCTGAACTCTGTTTCAACATTCTGGTGTTATTTTAATCATCCACACTAGTAAATTCTAAAGGCATGAGAGGAGGACTTTAAGATAGTTTATTTTATTAAGTTGAGGGTAAAATAGGTAGGTGGTAATATTGACACATGGCCAAATCATGTGTCAAAAAGGGGGATGGTTGGATTAAATATTAAATATATACGAAGGAGAGGACAAAATACTTAAAAAAAAAAAAAAAAAAACTTGTATGATAGTTTATTAACCACACCTGTATGTCAGAGGTTTTGTGCCCCACAGGTGAACTAAAGGAGAAGGTGACCCACTCTATCTAACCAGGAGACTGAATCAGGCCTGGCGGGAAGGGCCCTACCAAGTACTGCCTTTGCCAGCAGAATAGCTGAGAGTTCCATCTGGGTCCATGTCACACACTGTAAAAAGGCAAAACCAGCTACACCTGACGAACAAACACAGAGTTAGGAGAAAGATCCGATTACCACTAGGGCTCGGGGGTTGGCTCCTTAACGAAGATTCCCTTACCCTGTCTGATCATCCCTGTGTGAGTTCGATAGAAGGTAAAGCAATGGGTTGGCCTCTGGCATCTGACATGTTCTCAGGGCAAGGGTGGGGATTCACAGGTCTCCCGACGGTAGGTAGCTGTCTGATTGTGGGGGCCATATTCCTAGCACACACGGACCCTCCTGTTTCAGCCAGAAGTGGTAGTTAACCTAACACAAGTTGAAAAGGCATAGGAGACAGCTAGACGTAGGGAAAGGGGAAATTCTAGAGTAAACCTCTCTGAGGGAGGTAGTGAGACCGGGGCTGTGATAAAGATAGTGCAAAACTATAGACCTGGAGGAAGTAGTACAGGTGGAAACGGGGTATAGAAATCTTAACCTGTGGTTGGAATGGATTCAGTATACGGCAAAAACTATGTCTAAAGAGGACTGTTTTGCCTGTGGGACAGCCAAACCAGGGTTAACAACTACTCCGTTCCCCTTGACAGGCTTTAACTCTCTGTCAGGTTTTTCCTCCATGCAAGCCACCTGGGAATGTGGTGAAAGAGTCTTATGGTAACTTGCACTATCTGTTTCCCCCGATAACAAAGTCATCCCGACCTGGGTTGCCTCAGTTTGAAGTCACAGGGGATTCTAATTGTTTTTCTAGGACTAGTAAGGATAGGATACAGGGTAGGGCCTTTTAGCTCCTGCTCCCACACAGAGAATGTCACACCTAAAGAGACCATGACTAATCTCTCCTCTTTGTTGCAGCCAGAGGATTTTAGGAGCCAAAAACCAGACCCGTGCTGACATCTGATGGATGTGTGGTGATAACTGATTGTGAACTCACCTACATACGCAAACAATCAAACGTGTCAGAGACTGGTGAGTTGTCACATAGAAAGTAGGACCTCCTCCCGGGATCCTTTGATGAAAAGATATATATTGATGGGATCCACAATCAGATCGCAGCTGGGTTTGAATCAAGTATTTTCTGGTGGTCAACAATTAATAAAAATGTAGATTGGATAAATTATATTTAATATAACCAGCAAAATATTTATAAACCACACTCGTGATGCAATAAAGGGATTAGCTGAGCAGACAGTGGCAACTAGCTTAATGACATGGCAGAATAGAATAGCTTTAGATATGCTTTTGGCTGAGCGGGACGGGGTTTGTGTTCTGTTTGGATATATGTGCTGTACTTTCATCTCCAACAATATAGCACCGGACGGGCCCGTGACCAAAGCGCTTGAGTGACCATCACCACGCTGGCGAACGAACTGGTTGAGAACTCTGGTATTGATAGCTCCATAAACGGTTGGTTTGATAACATATTTGGTAAATGGAAAACTATTGTTGTGACTATTCTGGGTGAAGTTATGGCCTCTATGGGTATACTTGTTCTTTGTGGATGTTGCCTTATTTCCTGGCTGAGTGATTGGTTTGGTGAGTACTCTTCTATGGTGGTTACTGGATTTCTGACCCTAGTAATTGTGTTTTTGCTGTTAATGTGTTGTGCTGCTTGCATCGTCCCCTGTCTCAGGAGGTCAGTGGTAGGAGTGGTGCAGGCGTCAGGTATGATGCTGTTGTTACCGGCCCAGGATGATGCAGGTGACTCTGCTACTGACTCTGAGACCAAGCTGGATGATCCATGTTTTGCCTAGTAAAATACATACACGCATTTATTTTCAGTTCTTGCTCATTTATTACCTTATGTTTTTACTAACCACTGTGATTGTTTATTCTTCCTGATGTGAAGGTAAAGGATTCCTGGGTGGCTGGTAGCCAACTCAGTACATGTTAGGTGTAGGGGAGGAATAGAGGGTTAAAATTATTATTTTTATTTTTTATTAACATTAAATGTTGTGATTTAATTTCCATATCCTGTTATTCTTAAGGGTGATTATACTCTGTTTAGAGTGACACCATAAAATTGTTGGCTTTTATTTTTAATTGGATCTGTATGTGATGAATAGCTTGGAAGGAATGCATTAAGGAGGAGCACTGTACTGATATGGATTGTTTCACATAACAGGCTGATAAGAACACTCAGGGACGGCCTGTTCAATAGGGCGATATGGGCGACGCACTGCCAAACGGGAAAAGGAAGGGATTTTTTTTCTAATCAATTATATCACGGCAACAGTAGTTATCAGTGTTGTAATCTGATCTGACTGCCACTAAATGTCAAATCAGGCTAAAGTCGTGCTTCAAATGGCCCCGCCCGTTTTTGGGCGATTTCAGTCAGGTTGAAAATCGCCCAGAAGTCTCTCATAGCCTGTCATGTAAAATCTATTTTTTTCAAATTTCAAAGCTTTCAATACATTCTCTATGGGTGTCTGTGGGCTTGCACTTACGCGCTTTCGTCATACGTGACGTAACCATGAACGTAACTAAGCAAATAGCGGCTAGCAGCGTCTCTTTGCGACCTGCAGTGTGGCGTTATTTTATGTTTTTAATTTGTACACTTAGTGGCGTTATTTTATGTTTTTAATTTGTACACTTAGTTTACAAACATTCTGCCAACCATGGATTTCGAGTGGTGGGTTTTGGACTGATCTTGTTGATCGTGTACATACCCGCTACGAACGGACTAAATAATGAAAACGTTGCTGGCAGCGGAATCCAATACAGCTGGGAGACTTGGCTGGATGACAGAGTCCCGGACAGAGAAGTGGAGCCGGCCAGCTTCACCCTGGTCGGAGCGGACCTCGATCTGACAGTCACAGGGAAAATCGATCCTGGTAAGAGAGCGACTCTGTACCCCCGAGCCCCGACATTGAACTGCTTTCTGTGTCACTGTGACCTTACTATCTGCCCCGTGAGTTCCCCCAATTGTTTGTTACCGTTGTGTACTGTTGATAATCACAAGTTTACTGGAGAACTGAGACCAAGTAGAGACTTTGGACAGGGTGGATATGGTATAATAAAGGCAGTTTATTCAGAGGTAAAGATATCTGGAATCGCGTGCACGGACTCGTTCGTCAAACTCTTAGGGAGCTATCTGAAGAGAGCCCCGAAAACATTGTGTGCTGACATTTTATACAATAAATGATGTAGGTTGAATCTAGTAGTTCTGATCTTCTGATTGGTCCTGATGAGTTGGGCGAGGTCCCCTCCACTGTTGCATTGGCTCTGAGGGGATTTTTGTGTGTGTGTGTGTGTGTGTGTTTAACAGTGATGATGTGTGTGTGTGTGGGTGTTATCAGTGATGATGTGTGTGTGTGTGTGTGTGTGTGTCCTCAGAGCAAGAACTCGTGAGTTGGAAGAACTGAGAGACCTATGGCGTGGGTGTTGTCCTTGGCCACCTGCTGACAAGGCTGACAAGATAGGACTCTTTTGTCCATTGTTATAGGATAGGAACAGCATTGATTGAAAACAAACGCCCAACACAAAATGGGTCATGCACAAGATTTTAGTCAGACCAAGCTATAACATTATATATTTACTACGACAGTACATTCAACCAAAA